CAGGAGAATCGCTTGAGCCCAGGAGTTGGAGGTTGCTGTGAGCTGTGATGCCACAGCACTCTACCCAGGGGGATAGCTTGAGGCTTTGTCTCAAAAAAACAAAAACAAAAACAAAAGTCTTCTCAAATATGGGTTTTCACTTCCAGTGTGATCACCTTTCCTTAGTAAGAGTTGACCATGTTCTGTCCAGGACACAAATGCTATATTCCCTCCTCCTAGAGTATTTATTTAGTTTCACCTAATGTGCACAATGTGAGTGTTCAGCATGCCGCCAGGTGAAGGGCTCACCTACAACTTGAACTTTACCTTGGACATGAGAACAGTGTAACCTAAAAATTTGTACCTTTATATTAATTTGAAAAATAAAAAACACCTTTATTTCCTTAATGAAAATTTTATCAGTTATTTAGAAGAAAGTGATCTGATTTTTAAGCTTGTTTTTTGCTAAAACAAAGGAGACTTTTCTGTGAAGCTTAAAATATACCATGGGTTGGTTGCATTTTAAAGAGGATGGTTGTAGCTCTCTCACACACACACTCTCTTACTCTTGCAACTTCCACTATGGCATACTGCAGCAAGAAGACTCTGGCCAAATGATGAAACCTTGATATTAGACTTCCTAGCCTCCAGAACCATAAAGAATAAATTTATTTTTTTTTTTCTAAACAGAAAATTATTTGTCAGTGGAGTGTCTCAAGTCTGAATCCGCCTGGCTGTGGTGTGTGGTGGTGTTATCTAGCTGCTTTCCTAGCCTCAGTATTTCTCATGAACTGGTGGTTAAGCCAGGGGCTGACCAGGTTCAGGCTTGCATTTTCATAGGCACTGTGCCCTTCATCAAGAGCCACGCACTATCTGATTGATAAGAGGTTGCAAAATAGATTTATTCCTTTATTTCTTCTTTATTTTCTTTTTACTTGACAGGCTCATATAAAGAGAAATCTTCCCTCGTCAATATTAGGTTATCCTGAGGTACAATTTGTACAATTGATTCTTTTTGTTTCTTTTCCAGTTTTTAGAAAAATGCATTGTTTTCCTAACATCTTACAAAGATGACCAATGAGACTTTCTTCCCCAATGTCCTTGTGAAGTCAAAGATTTTAAAAAACACATTTCATGTGTTTTAACTCATTGCAGTTATTATTATTTTTGCTGCTCTGATTGTCCCACCTTTGGCCAGTGAGAGCCTCTTCAGCCACATTGCCCTTTAGCACAATGTCACTAGTCCTTAGTAGGTCTAGTTTCCTGATACAACAGTTTCCTTCCCCTGTTGCGGAATCAGACATTTCCCCAAGGAGCATGGGTTCATTTGAATGAGAACTGAAAAGTCCATAGTGTAGGGTTGGGGACACCAGCTGAGGCTGGTCCTTTCAGTGGAGAGAGCTAGGATGTCCTTTTTATTTCTTTAAGAGAAAATACATTAGAATTAAACTTTATATTTCCAATTCAAATTTAGTGTTACATCTAAACTTAACTTCTTTGATTCTTGAAATTTGCATCTCTTTTCTGCTGAAAATCTTGGTTCCTAATCGCATTAACATAATCGTATTTGCTCTATCTATTCGGAATAACAATGTCAACATTATTTCTAGCAATGTGATTGCTGAGCACAGTTTAAGGTTTTATTTATTTAATAGTTACAGTTCAGAAGCCCTCCAAAGAATTTCCCTACATACAGTTATTTCATGAATTTGATAAACAGCTAGGCTTATTTGTTTAACTTGCTTTCAATTTTTTAGAGGTGGCTTTTTGAAGTTGAATTTTGTTTTATAACTAGATGAAGCATTTACATGGGTCCAAAGTCCAATATTTTAAAAAAGACATATTTAGAGGAGTCTCTCTCTTTGTTCCTTCACTCTTCCCATAGGTAGCCTTGTTTTTGGTTTATTATTCCATTAAAACATGCGTGTGTGTATGCATGTATATTTATGTGCATATATGTGTAAGTAATTATGAAAGTATATTTGTATTTCCTCTTTATAAATAAACAGTGGGGGTATTATTAATACTTCCCTTCATCGCTGAAGATTATTTTATAGTAGCAGCATGTGGAGATATTCCTAAGCTTCATAAACTTCCATCATGTGGGTCTTCCATGGTGTAATTATTTTGTTTTCTTTTTTTTTAGAGAGAGAGACTCTCACTTTGTTGCCCTCAGTAGAGTGCTATGGCATCATAGCTCACAGCAACCTCAAACTCTTGAGCTCAAGAGATTCTCTTGCCTCAGCCACCCCAGTAGCTGGTACTACAGATGTTTGCCACAACTCCTGGCTATTTTTAGAGATGGTGTCTTGCTCTTGTTCAGGCTGGTCTCGAACCCGTGAGCTCAGGCAATCCACCCTCCTTGGCCTCCCAGAGTGTTAGGATTATAAGTGTGAGCCACGGCGCCTTGCCTGGTGTAATTATTTAGTTTGCTTTTAATCTTTTGCTGTTGTGAAAGGTGCTGTAGTGAATGGCTCATGTATCCACCTTTCATATTTTTGCCAGTGTATCTTTGGGATAGGCTCCCAGAAGCAATTGCTGGGTCAAAGCGGGAATGCACACATAACTTTGCTAGATGGCATTGAGTTCCCTTCCGCAGGGCTGGAAGCATTTTTGTACTATGTATTTCTATTCACAATATATGGATCACCCGACTCCCCATAGCTTTGCCAAGAGTACACGCTGACAGGGGTAGATGGTTATCAATAGCTTTAGGTTATTTTATATTAATTCACTGGGAAGTCTTTCTGATGCACACTCTGGTTAAGAATATTTGCTTCTCAGTGTTTCTCCACTGGTGAAAAGTCCAATCTGGATATAGCTTTAATTTGCATTTAAGACTAAATGCTAGGCTGAGCATTTTTCCATGTATTTGAGGGCTATTTGCATTTTTCCTTTGTGAAGTGTCGATGTCTCTGGACTGCTTTCCCTCTAACGTGGCTGGTCCTTTGTGTCTCTAGTTTGAAGTCCTTCACTTACTGTGAATATATAACACAGGGAGAGCACCCCTTTATCTGTCTCATAAATTGCATGCGTCTCTCTGGGTTGTTGTTTCTCTTTTTATCTTGCTTGTGTTTTTATTTTTGCCATTTGTTAAATCTATCTGTCATTCCTGTGTTGCTGCTGAATTTTGAGTCATTGTTGGGAAAGATTTCCCCACTCCTAGATTTTAGAACCCTTGGCTTGTGTTTTCTTTCAGTATTTATATGGTTTCATTTTTTACATTTGAAGCTCTGAGTCACTTGGACTTTATCCAGGTGTATGGTGTGAGAAAAGAACACAATTTTATCATTCTCCATATGGCTTTCCAACAAGTTATTTAAAAATCCATCTTTCCCTTCATTGATTTGACGTGATGCCTCTGTCATATACTAAATTTCCACATGCATTTAGATAAATTTCCGGATTTCCTTTTCTGTCCCCTTGGTCTTCCTGTCTTCATGTGCCAGTCGCACACTTTATAATCTGTACAGGCTTTGTCATGTGTTTTGATATCTTGGTTGGCCCACCTCCCTTCACTGCTTTTTCCTTCAGGCGTTTCTTGGCTATTCTTGCTCGTTCTTCCGAATGAACTGGATAATCAATTGATCTGCATACAGGAAAACACTGATGGCATTTTTATTGGGGCCGCATTGAAGTTATAAATGAACTCAGGAAGGATGAATATCATTAGGATGTTGAATCCTGCTATCCAAACACAGTCTTCCCATGCGTTCAAGTCTCCTGTGTTTTTCAGATAGTAGTATTAACCGCATTAATGTCACATACTTCCCACCAACACACACACACACACTCAGCTTTCTTTCTACCTTGTTACTAAACATGATACTCCCAGGCAAAGACCAGCAAAGGGAGTGAAGTGATCTGCGGGGCTGGGAAACACAGAGGTCAAGTTCACTGATGTTGAGACCTTACCTGCTAGAAAGAAGGCTCTCATCAGGGCCCTTTGGCTACTAGGCTGTCATGGCTGGAGCCCAACCCAGAGAGAGGGGCTCTCAGAATGAGGCTGTTTGGGGGCAGGGACTTAGACCTCTGCCAAGGGGGACCTGTACTGGGTGTTTTTTGCGACATGGGAGAAGGCAGCAGCCACGTACTGTGTGTGGAAGCTCCGCCCCGACCTCTTCACTGCGACTGTGTGGAGGCCGCTCACTCCTCACCACATCTTCCTGCCCTTATCCAGGGGCTGAGGGATGTGGGAGTGTCCAGCCACCAGCCGGGTAGGAGCTGAGCAACTCAGCGTTGCCCCCAGGGACCCAGACATACATACTCAGAGATGTTGAGGGCCAGCGCTGTCCAGTAGGCTTCCATGGGGGCCGTCACCACTGCATCAAACAGCACCTCCTGCACCAGCTCCTCATCACCTAGGGGTAGAGGCAAAGGGGACCAGGCCAGGATTAGGGACTCGGCTCACCCGCCCTTTGAAGCCCAGGGAATGTGATGGGTGGACAAGGTGTATCTGCCTCTGGGACATGTAGAGTCACCCGTGTGGGCCCGAGGACGATGCCTCCCCCTGCCTGTTTCCCTCCCTGAACATCAAAAATGATGTGTTGAGAAATGAAGAATAAGTAGAGAAATGAATGGTATCCTGGGCTGTTCTAATTTGCTGTGAGGTTGGGAGAATTCCTCCCTCAGTGACGTCAGGCCAGGGTCTACGCGGCCTCCTAGTCTGCTCCCTAATTGTCAGGGCACGTGGCTTTTCCTCCGTCCTGTGAACTTGACCCTGCCAAGCTCCCCCTTGCCTCGCAGCTGCCACACATGCTGGTTCCTTGGCCTGGATGCTTCCCTCTCTCTGTATAGGTGGCTCTTCCTTTCCCCTGTCTCTTTTTTAAAAAAGTTATTTTATTGAGGTAATTAAGGTAACATTCACTTAACACAAGACTAACCAATTTAAATATGCAATTCAGTGGCATTCAGAACATTCACCATGTCTCGCATGATTCCAGCACTCCCAAAGGACAGCCCATTAAGCCCACTGGTGGCTCCTTTGTATCCTTAGCACAGTGACACCACTGCACAGAGGTGGCCTGCCTTAGCCACCACATTTCTAATGACCTGCACGACCCGCACTTACGTGCACACGCGCGTGCGCGCACACACACACACACACACACACACACGCTTCCTTGCCTGTTGTATTGTCTGCTTTCTCCCCTAGGTTATAAGTTCCATGAGGGCAAAGGCCTTGTCTGGTTTTTTTCTGCAGCTCAGTGCCTACCCCAGGGTCTGGCACAGAGGAATAACCAGTACAGATCTGGCAGTGGAATTAATGCATGAATAACTGAGTGTCCAGTTGTCCAGCATGGGAGGTAGAGTGTTCTTGTGAGGGTGGCACATTTGTGAGAGGATAACCTGCTCCTTGATGAGGGTGTGGCCCACAGGCTCACCAATTGCATCGGGTGCAGGGAAGCTTAAAGGCCACCCAAGGACCCGGCTTAGAAAACACACAGAGGCCACAGACTTTATGGGGCCAGGGCTTCAGGTGCCGAAGGTCAGCGGCTCGCCCAGGGGGGTCACTTCCAAGGGCAGTAGGGACAGAGCTGACAGCCAGGTAGATTGCCTGAACAGTGCTGTCTTCTGGGTCTCAACAGTGGTCGAGTGATAGAGGTTGAAAAAGATCTCAGTCCCCGCTATGGCTGGCTCTGAGTTTTGCTTTGAGGCTTTCCTGTCCTCTGTAAGTGGCCTTGTTCTCCAGGGATTGGACTGTGTGCAACCTCCCCTCAACACAAGGCCTAAGCTGCAGGATCCCATAGCAAAAGCCCCTGTGGGTGCCAGTACTCACACTCCAGGGCTGGGTCCTCCTGGGTCAGGAAGTGGACCACGGCCTCCAGCTGGCTGAGCTTCCGGTGGTCAGGGTCAATATCCGTGATGCAGTAGATCCTGAAACCAGGGGAGTCAGTGTCACCTCGAAAAGTCCCACCTGTCTCCTCCCACCCTCCTCCTTGCTTACCAGTCACTGGCCAGGCTCAGGTCCGGGTGGAGCAGGTCGTGCAGCCCTAAAACAGAGCCCACACTCAGGGTGCTGTAGGCACCACATGAGGCCAGCACCCAGGTGTGCAGACACCACCTGGTGAGCTTTGCTGGGGTGGTGGTGGGGGGATGGGCTTCTGTTCCTCCTCACTCAGCACGAGGGCTGCATGGTCCTGCCCCTGCCTGTGTGTCCCCTGCCTCTGGAACAGCCTTTTCTTCTCCTTGCCTCATGTCCAAGTCCCACCCATGCTTCAAGGCTCAGGACAGTGCCGTGCCTGCCATGGCCTGGGGCTATCCTGTCCTGCGCCTCAGCCCTGTGTGTCCCCATGCTCTGTCAGAGGGTGGCTTCTTGAGGAAGCCCCATCCAATTCCTCCCAGCACCTCCCTCAAGAGGAGCTGATACTTTGCAACCAGCGATTTCAGCTGTGTTGGCTTCATGGTGGCTCAAGGGCCAACTGCGGGTGAGCCCTGAAGTGCGCCTGCCTGTCATGTGCCTGGGCACCTCCCCCGGTGTGGAGCCTGTCCTGACCATGCATCAGTGCGTGCTGTGGGCTGGAAGAACCAGGAGCAGACGCCCTGCAGAGCATCACCTGTCACCTCTGCAGAGCTCAGAAACAAAGAGGTGCTCAATCCAGGTCTTGTTAAATTGCAGGAAAAGGTGACAGAAAGGCCAATGGGGCCCCCATGGAGCCCTAAAAGGACTACTGCTCTGACACAGACACAGGTCCGTAGCTGAGCTCCTTCCCCACAGAAGCCCAGGTGACCATGGGGACCGCTGGCCTGTCCCAGCCACAAAGTGGGTGAAGGGTAGCACCCTCTGTCCCCTGGGAGAATGTGCCCTGAGAATGTCTGGAGAAGGAAGGGTAGCAAGGAAGAAGGCCCCATGGAGGCCCAGCAGGTGGCGGAGGACTGAGAAGGGGAGTATGGGCACAGGGGTTCCAGGAGAGCACATGGTGGGGCGCTGACCCCATGTGTGCTGGAGAGGGGACCTGCCCAGGACAGCTTCCAGAAAGGAGGTGTCTAATCAGGGCCGAGAGCAGGCTGAGGAGCTCTAGAGGGCAAGCCTTGAGGGGCAGGCACAACACACAGGAAGAGGGGACATGCAGCCAGCCCCCGAGGGTCTGTTAGCAGTGGTGTGGTCAGAGACGGCATTTCTACAAAGATCCCTCTGGCTGAAGTTTGGAGACAGAAAGGGTTAGGGGGACCAGTTAGAAGCCATCCTGACTATTCAGGAGAGGGGCAGAAAGGCAGGGCATGGTAAAGGGAGTGTGGGTGGGGTGGGTGGCCACACCTTCCAGGCACTTCCAGAGACAGCCCTGGCTCCTGGACACAGGTTGGGGCTTTTCAGGGTGCTCAGGCAGCAGTAGGAGAGAGCCTTCTCTCCCACCCTCTGCCGCTATCTCCTGCCCTCTCTCTGGGGTTCAACTCCCATACACTCCTGGTATGGGTTGAATTGTGTCTTCCGAAAGATCAGAAGTTGAAGTCCTGACCTCCAGTACCTGTGAAGGTGAGCTTCTTTGGGAAAAGGGCTTGGCAGACTTACTGGAGTTAAGACAAGGTTGTTAGAGTGGACTCTGATCCCATATGACTGAAGAAGGGAAAGAGGGGTACAGCCAGAGGCAGCTGAGGGGAGAGGGCTGCATGATGGAGGGAGGGACTGAAGGGGCTGCCAGCCTGCCACAGAATATTTTTCTACTGTAAGCTACCAAGTTCACGGCATCTTGTTATGGCAGCCTTAGCAAACAAATACAGGTTTGCCCCTCACTCTGAGAGACTGCTATCAAGCCAGATGGAGAAGCTGTCACAACAGCCCCACCCAGAGTCCCAGGAGAATCCACGGTTCTGCCACACTGCCCACAGTGCGTGGCGCAGACCCACCTTCTTCCACAGACGTGTTCCCCAGGAGGATGAACTCCCCGTGGCCCTGGGACAGCACTACACCTAGGCTGTGGGGAAGAGAGAGTGTGCTCAGGCCAAAGCTAGCCAGTCTCCCGCCCCTCCTGCCCATCACAGCTCCAAGTTTCTGAGCTGTGACTCCCTTACCCTGGTCCCATAGCCATCCCCTCCAGAACCCAGGGACCCAGCCTTTCTTCCTGAGAATGGCCTGGAAGCTCTACAGATCAAGAGCCCTCTTAGCTCATGTTTTCCTCAGGGCCACATCTGAGTCCTGAAGTGTAAAAAGGTCTCTGTGCCAGGGTGTCCCCCAGGAGGAGACTCCTCCCTCACCTACTCTCCTGCCTGGTGGGTCCTGCCACACCTTCCTCCCCTGGGGAGCACCGGTTCTGAATTTTGGCTGAATATCTGAACCACACAGGGCTTTAAATTCTGCTTAAATTAGTATATAGGAGGACTGGGCCTTGGCAGTCAGGGACAGGGACCAGGGCTTTTTGGAGAAATGAGATGATTGAGAGGCAGGGACCATGCGTTTCCTAATCTGTATAAGACCTTCCTAGAGTCAAATATTTGTATAGTTAGAACCTAAGAGATCTTCAAATCTGATCTTTCCATCTTTCAAGTAGGCACTACTTTAAGATTTTTAAGTGGACTAAGTCATTTAATCCTCACATCACCACCAAGAAGTAGCTACTATTGTTAGCCCCATTGTACAGATGAGAAATTTGAGGCAGAGAGAAACTGTATAACTTGACTAAGGGTACATGGCCCGTGAGTGGTGGGGCTGACATTCAAATCCAGGCAGGTGTAGAACTGACCACGAGGCTACACTGGCAAAGCCAGTTTCCATCTCAGGTTTCCTGAATGCTGACTTGGGTCTGTTGCTGGTTCCCCCAAATTGCTAAAACTATCATAAATATGAGTTGTTGGTATTCACATTCCACACACTCCTCCCCCCTGCACAAAGAGCATGGGTCCCTCACCTGAAAGGGGTGTCACTGATGTCCGTGAAGAAGTAGTCATTGGTCAGGAAAAGGACTCGCTTCTGAAAGAGCAGACAAGGAAGAGTACTTGCTGGAGAGAAGGATGGCTGCCCAGCTCCCACCTCGCCCCAGAGCCTTTGGGGTTTTCACCACCCCTGTCCACTTCTCTTTTTCCCTCTTTCCTTAACTGACTGCGAAACAACTCCTCTTATTGACATCATGGGCAGATCATTGCAAGGGCCAGCAAACCACAGGCCTTTGCAGGTGGCCTGGATTCAGGGACCAGGGTCTGCCCATCATGATGGTCTTAGCCACATGCTGCATCAAGCACTTGAAACGTCCTGCCAAGGAACTGAATTTTCAGATTTTAATTAATTTTAGTGCACTTAAGTTAAAATTTAGGTAGCCAATGTGGCTAGTGGCTACCGTGTTCAGCAGAGCAGATATATGTAGATGATGACTCTGGGATTCCTGTAGGGTCAGAGAGGAGACTGTCAGCTGGTGCTAAAACCTGGACCCCGGATGTATACAATCCACTGACAGCCTCCTGGCCCTCAAAGGCAGCCAGAGGAGCATGGGGCACTGTTCCCCTCCACTGTAACTTCTCCCTATGCTGGGTCCCCTTTACAACTTCTGTTTCCTTTCAAAGCCGCCATCTTTTGGGTTTTGGTTTAATTTGTACAAATTAGGGTATCAGGTAATCCACCAAGGGGCTAAAGACGTGGCCGGGTTGGACAGCCCGGATGGAGCCCAGCTCCACCGCTTCTAGGCTGTGCACTTTGGGACAAATCACTTCACTTTTCTAGGCACCTGTGTTCTCACGTGTCATCGGGATAAACATTAGTCTCTTGCATAAGGCCACCATGAGGGGGTGTTCTGGCTTCTGAAGTTCTGTGGCTTGTCCTCTCCTTTGACGCAAGTTCATGTCACCGGGAAAGCCACCTTTTGTAGTTGGCTCAGGACCTGTTCTTATTCCTTTCACGTCTTCCTGACTTTTCTTTTCATTTTGGAAATTGGAGCAAGATGTTGAAAGGGACACACAGAGAAAGGACAGCAAAGGGAAAGAAAGCTCACTTTCCCCAGGAAACTGGCTTTAGATCAAAACACTAGCCTCAAAACTGGACTTGTCCCTTTGCAGTGCCCTCCCACCCCTGCCCAGCCAGAGCCTCTCTGTGGTCTCCCTCCATCACGGCAGTCACAGGGTGTCCTTGGAGGCATCCGGGGGCTTGGGGGGGCTGTGCTCCAAGGTGGGGCTGGCTTGAGCATCAGACCTGGAGATTACCTTGTAAGTTTTGTCCTTTTTTAATTGTAAAAAGGGTAAAATGCACTGATCTTAAGTGAATCATTCAATTAGTTTTGATACACGTATCAGCCGTGTAATTACTGTCCAATGAAGACATGGGACGTGGATCCTCTACAGTCTCATCGCCTGCCCCCTTCTGGTCACAGCACCCTCCACTGGCAAACTCAGTCCTGGACTCTGTCACTGCAGATGGCTTGGCCTGGTCTTAGAGTTTGTGCTCTTCGTTGCCTGACTTTAGCTCAATGTAACAGTTTTGCGGGGTGTATCAGTAGCTTGTTGCTTCTGCTGCTGAGCAGGATCCCACGGTATGGACGCCCCACAGTTTGCTTCTGTTTTCACCTAGCGATGGATATTAGGGGTGTTTCTAGTTTGGGACTAGATTGAATAAAGCTGCTGTAAACATTCTGGAACAAGTCTGGACAGGTGTTTTCATTTCTCTTGGTAAAATATGTAAGCATGGAATGGCTGGGTCATAGGATAAACATACAGTATTTACCTTTATTTAAAAACTCCCAATTTCCCAAAGTTGTTCTACCATCTCATACTCCGACTAGTAATATCTGAGGATTCTAATTTCTCCACGTCTTTTTTTTTTTTGAGACAGAGTCTCACTATGTCACCCTGGGTAGAGTGCCCCGGCTTCACAGCTCACAGCAACCTCAAACTCTTGGGCTCAAGTGATTTTCTTGCCTCAGCCAAGTAGCTGGGATTACAGGCGCCCACCACAATGCCCAGCTATTTTTCTGTTGCAGTTGTCAGTGTTGTTTAGCAGGGCCGGGCTGGGTTCAAACCCACCAGCCTGGGTGTATGTGGCCTGTGCCCTACAGATTGAGCTACGGGCACCACCTCCATTTCTCCACATCCTTGTCAGCACTTGGTGTTGTTAGTCTTTTCAGTTTTAGCCATCATAGAGGGTAGTGAATGGAATCTTATTGTCGCTTAAATTCGTAATTGCCTGGTGACTAATTATGTTGAGCATCTTTGCATATTCTTCCTTTGTGAAGTGTCTGCTCTAGTGCTTTGAGCATTTTTTATTGGGTTGTTAGTCTTTTTGCTGGAGTTCTTTCTGTGTTTTGGATACAATCTGTCTTTGCTTTTTCACTTTCTTTCTAGTGCCTTTTGATGAGCAGCTTTTTGCTCTTGACAAGTACAGTTGATCAAATTTTATTTTATATTTAGTGCTTCTTGTGATTTTGTCCAAGGAATCTTTGTATAACCTCAGGTGGAGAAGATTTTTCCTGTGGTTTCTTGTGAAAGCTTTATAAAACTTTTAGCTTTTACATTAAAGGTTATAATCCAGTAAAAAATTAATTTTTGTGTGTGGTGTGAGCTACGGCTCTGCATTTTCCCCCTAACCATTTATTCAGTTGTTCTAGCACCTTTTGTTGAAGAGAATTTCCTTACTGCACTGATTTGCATAGGTGTCTTCGTTAAAAATCAGTTGACAACATATGTGAGGTTATTTCTGGATTCTCTGGTCAGTCTCCTTGATTTATTTCTCTTCCCTTTGTCAGCAACACCCTGCTTGGTTATTCTAGCTTTACAGAAAGTTTTGAAATCAGGTACTATCCCTTGCCCAAATTTGTTCCTCTATTTCAAGACAGTTTTGGTCATTCTAGGTCCTTTACATTTGCATATGAATTGTAGAATCATGTTGTCTGTTTCTAGAAGTCTGTTCAAATTTTAATGGAATTGTGTTGAATCTAGAGATCAATCAGGGGAGAATGGACATCTTAGCAATATTGATCTTATAACCCATAAACACGGGTTTTCTCTCTAATGCTGATATTCTTTTAGCAATGTTGTTCTATTATTTTCGGTGTAGAGGTCCTATATAACTTCGTTAGCCTTATTACTAAGCATTTTGTGTTACTTGATGCTATTGCAATTGCAACTTAAAAATAATTGTAATTCCTAATGGTTTGCTGCTACATATAAAAATAAAATTGATTTTTATAAGATGTGTGTTCTGTGAACTTGATAAACGTAACTATTAGTTCTAGTAGTTGTTCTGTAGATTCTTAGGGTTTTCTGTGCCAACAATAATCTCGTCCATGAATGAAGCCAGCGTTACTTCTTCCTTTCTTCTCTTTGTGTCTTTTATTTTCTTTTCTTGCCTTACTGCCCAGGGGCTGTTTAGTACATTGCTGAATAGAAGTGCTGAGGTGACATCCTTGCCTTGTTCTCAATTTTAGGGACAAAGCGTTAAATATGTTACCAATAAAAGTTAGCTTTTGGTTTTTCATAGATGCTTTTCATCATATGGAGGAAGTTTTCTTCTATTCCTGGTTAAATTTTGTCCAGTTCTCTCTCAACAGCATTCTTGGGATAGCCTCACTCTGTGCTACTAATGTCAAATATTTTATACTCACATATGCTATAAACCCTATAACACAATGTCAAAACTTTTGCTCTAAATAGTCAGTTGTCTTTTTGAGAAACTAAGAGAGTAAATGAAAGTCTTATATTACTCATGTTATTTACTATGTCCAGTTTGGCTCACTGTCTCCTGCAGTTCTCAGTTTCCGTCTGGTGTCATTTTTCTTCAGCTAGAATAATTTTCTTAAGCATTTCTTATAGTACAGTCTGTTGGTGATGAAACTCCTGTTTTCCTTTTATCTGAAAATGGCTTTATTTCACCTTATTTTTGAATGATGTTTTCTCTTTGTATAAAAATTTGGATTGATATTTTTTTTCCTCTCAGCCTTTCAAACACATCATTTTACTGTTTTTGCAGTATCAGCCATTGTTCTCATTGTTGCCCTCTCTCTGATGGATCTTTTTTCCCCTCTAACTTCTTTGAAGATTGCCTCTTATCTCTGATTTTCAATCTCTGGACTATGATGTGCCCAGGCATAGTTTTCTTTCTTTCTTTCTTTTTTTTTCTATCTTCATTGGCATTTGCTGAGATTCTGTGATCTGCAGACTGATAATTTTCACCAAATTCAGGATCGTCCTGGCTACTTGTTTTTCACATACTTTTCTCCATTCTCTCTCCTTTTTTTTCTAGATTCCAAGAACATATACATTAGTCCAGTTAATACTATCCCACAGGTCACCGAGGCTCTGTTTTTCTTTTTTTCTCACCCTCCTGTTCTTCAGGTTAGATCATTTCTATTGCTCCATCTTCAAGTTTACTGTCCCTTTCTTTCCAATCTGCTATTAAGCCCATCCAGTAAAATTTTCATTCCAGATACTATACTTTTTGGTTTTGAAATGTCCATTTGGAAGTGTAAGCAATACAAGCAAAAACAAACTAGTGGGACTACGTTTGCACAGCCAAGGGAATGATTAACAAGATGAAATTTGTTTCCTATAAACTAGGAGGAATTGCTTGCAAACCACATATTTGAAAAATGATTAATATCCCAATGCAGAAGGAACTCCCACAACTCATAGCAGAAAACCAAATAACTAGATTTTAAAATGGGCAGAGGAGGCTGGTCTGGTGGCTTACTACAGTGATCCCAGCACTTTGGGAGGCTGAGGTGGGAGGATTGCTTGAGGCCAGAATTTCCAGACTAGGCCAGGCAACACAGTAAGACTCCATCTCTACAAAACTTCTTTTTTTAAAATTAGCTGGCATAGTGGCATGCATCTGTAGTCCCAACTATAGAAAGACTGAGACAGGAGGATTGTTTGAGCCTAGGAGTTCGAGGTTACAGTGAGCTCTGATTACACCACTGCACTCTAGCCTGGGTGACAGTCCAAGATCCTGGATCTTAAAAAAAGAAAAGGTAAAGGACCTACATAGACATT